GAGAGAAAGAGAGGGCGGCGAGGCAATGAAAAGCGTTGGAAACAAATTGGGAACAAAGGATGGGCTCGTCAATGGGTTCCGCCACGCCCGCGGCCCGCGCGCGGTGTCCCTGTCTGGCTGCAGATGCTGCTGATGGCGTTGGGCGTAACGTGCGGTCAGCCGACTGGCGGCTCCGTCTGTATATATAACCGCGTGCACGTGGCGGACACGTGAGGTGGGCAGGTTGCTGATTACGTGACATGAGCCAGTACCAGCGCGGCCACGCCCAAAGTGGCGGTCGATGTGGGTGGATGAATTGACCTTGATGAGGGTTGGAAATAACGCGGCTGCAAAGCCTCATCATAGTCTTTCGAGGAATCGTTTATTTCATCAGCACTCTGTTGTTGTTGTCGTCGTCGCTCGAAACAGAGACGGTTAGTTGGTTATTCTAAAGCTAGGCGCTACGCTACTACGTCGCTAAATTACATAAATTACGCTTCTCTAAAAGATAAACACCTAACTAAGATGGGGGGTTGATAGCAGCTCGGCGCAGTAAATGCTGTAAAGGCCTTGATGAAGGCCGCCACGGTGTGCGCCCATCACTAGTAAAACAGCAGGGTCTCTAATTAATATCACGAGAACAGAAGTTTTGAGATAATCTTCTATCCAAAATATCATCACAGGAAGCTCGTTGACAGTATGGCTCGCTTTGTACTCGGCCCCACGCCTCGACGCCTCGCATCCATCGCCTGCTTACAGGCGGGCGTCCTTGCGAACAACTACCCCCCGGGTCGGGACGCGCGCCACGGCGGCACGGGGTAGTTGTTTCAAAGGAGAACAAAGTTTGCTGTAGCCCTCACTAAGCAAGCCATCCCCGGTGCCTAGCCTCGCGAGCCGGTACCGGCCCGAGTGGGGTAGTCTCTCACTCCAGTCTCGCCCGGCCGGAAACTACACAGCACGGGGCGGAAATTTGGCGCGAAACGGAGTACAGAAGTGGAAGGGGAGGGGGCGGTCTGTGTGCCCTGCTCTTCTTCGCCAGTTCCGTCCGTAGCAAGGCGGGCGAGGGCGGCGAGGCCGAGGGCGGTGGCTGCGGGCGGGTCCGGTACGCGGCGTGGCTGTCCAGGTACTTGAAGGCCAAGGCTGGCACGCCCTACCCACTGCGCTCCCTCCTGAAGACCGTGATCTTGGCCTTCCTCGGCGCCTCGCCGAGCGAGAGGCCCAGCTTGGGGTCGACGCGCTCCACGAGGGCCACCCTCTCCAGCCTGCCGCTCTCCTCCGCGTCCTCCTCCTCCTCCTCGTCGTCGTCGTCCTCCTTCCTGGATTGGGCCACCTTGCCAGTCACGGTCAGGGTGCCGTTCCTGGACGCCATGGTGCCCGCGCTGTCGACGGCGTCCACCACCTCCAGCTCGAGGGGCTCGTCGTCCTCGCTGTGCTGCGATCGTGGAGTCGTGCTCTGCAACTGTGCCACGGAAGCATGAGTACCGGGTAATGCAGAGCACGCGCCGCCGTGTTGCGGGTTTGCCTATCTTCGACTCGGCGGGCGCACGGGTGAGAGGTGAGGAGGAGAGGGGTCCCCTCCTCATCTCTCACCCGTGCGCCCGCCGAGTCGAAGATAGGCAAACCCGCAACACGGCGGCGCGTGCTCTGCATTACCCGGCACAACGATAATGTGAGGGCTCCTCGCAAGAGGACCAGAGGGAGGCCACCGTGCTGTACCTTTACAGGGCGGTTCGTCGGCGAGGCCGGGGTGTTGGTGCGCACGATGGCTGCCGCAGCGCTCAGGAAGTCGTCGTCGTCGTCCACCTGGCCGTTGCTTCCCTTCTTGTCGCCGCCCCCGATGATCACCACGTCGCTCCGGTTCCCGCCACTGGTCGGCGAGCTCGGCTTGGGCGTTGTGGTGGGTGGTGCAGGCGGCTCCGTGCCGGCCGTCGAGGAGTCCTGGCAGTCCTTGCCCGCCCCCGAGGCCGGTGGCCGGCGCGCAGCCCCGTCCCCACTCGCCCTGTAAAGACCGCAGCAGGCATTTAATTTTTAAAAATATTTAACGACTAATTATTTTCGCAGGAAAAAGCAAGAGGGGCGATGTGAACCTTCTGCGCGTTGGTTTCTGTCCCTTACACTCACCCGCCGTTGCCGTTCAGCCGCACGTAGTTGTAGTACTCGGGGTGGCTCAGTATGAACTTGGACGTCCTCGAGGGCAGGTTGGGCACCGATGGCATCCACCTCGTCGAGTCGTCTCCGCCGTCGTCCTGGGGCGTGAACCCTGGCCGGTGGCGGGGCACGGCCGGGTACTGGAGGTCCTTGGGCCTGGACGTCGTCGTGGAGCTGCCGC